AGGGGCTTTGCACATAGATCAAAGTGTAATGGCTTAATTAGCTGCAAATCAAAAAGCCAATAACATTTTACACGCCATTCCAAACCACGATGAATATCGTCATTTGGATCTATATGGACAGATTTACAGCTATTTCGATCTCCATATTATCTCTGATGATGGGCAGTTATATAGCCGAAACTTTAGCTGTATTAACAGACTTTAAGATCAGCCATTTATTTGCGTCGGTTAGCATTGAAGTAATAGCAGTTTTTTAAGAATGAAAGAACCCAAACGAGTTATAGATATCGTTTATACGTTATCTTTTTTTCAACGAAATTCAAAGTTATTTCAAACATTTCTTTTCGATTCTGTTCCAACCTGTTTCTAGTAGTGTTGCCGATGATAACGTCAACGATAATTACAGTTATCAAGTATGCGAATGCCGCTTGTTAAATCTTGCATGAATCTGGAAGATTTTTTTGTCTATCAAAATGTGAAATTGTAATAATGTTAATGGCGAGGGAAGACGATCCCCAGGATTATTTAAGCATGATATTCTATTTTTAAAATACGTCAGGAAAAATGCTTTTTCCCACCTGAGCAGATGATTACTCAGAACTATTGACAGCTTCAGAATAAATCGGCTTCATATTAAAGGATAAACATTTGCAGGTTTGGATAAAATAATAATGGTGGAGCAGTTGTAAATAGAAATTCTGCATAGATGCACAAACAAAAGGAATTGCAAGTAAAATGATTTTACATTTTATAGGTACGATGAAAATCGTTGTTTCGCACTTATGGTATTTCAGATAAGGTGTTATTTCTGAATACGAAAACTACTGCAGGTAATAGGTATTTCACTGCTTTATTTTAAGCAATTAGTTAAAATGGTGAATTTTGATTTTGTAGCATATTAATTTCTGAATGATTAATCATAAGTTATGCAGCAGGACTGATGCTTTGTTTGATTTAGCGCTTTCCTAATTTAAGACTCCTATAAAGTTATAGCTCAGTTTTCACATTTGAGGTAACGGACTCAACTCACCTCGAGAATAATCGACCGGTTGTACTCGCGATTTAAGCACAGGGGCCACTGCTCATATTCTTTCTTTACACTCGACCGTAGAAGTAACGGCTGCTCGACACATGTAAACTGAACGATAAGAAGCAAAACGCCTACTGCTACGATCATCGCCAGAAACTGCAATGGATAGAATTTCCTGAGTAACCGAAGTTTCATATATGCCATTCTCAGCTGGCTTTGAACCACACGTCGTGGAAGGAGGAGCTGAAAAAATGATGATCAGATATTCAGACTTATTCACATTTTAACGTTGGTTACAGCAAACAGACTGACCAACAAATCACCGTGTGAACACCGTACCATACTTAGACAGTTAACTCAGCCTGCAATCAACGTCCTAACACATCAGAATATATTGTGTATTTTTTACATTGTGGTTTGAACATGGATTAAACTGTGGCATCTTCACTGGTATGTTACACCTTGCAATTTTAGTGCGGTACTCAGCTTTACAACTTTCAATTTACAACATACGCTGTATGGAGGACGTATTATTTAGCAATGACCAAAATGAATGTTATCACTGTATTGCAGCTGACCAGAGGCACTTTTAAAAAGTTGCTGTAGGAAGGAGATTCGACAACATCAAAGATAAGCATCATAGATGAGCTCGCTTTTGAGCTGCTTTATCTCTAAATCACCTATTCTAAAGATGGAAAGCGTGAAACGAAATATAGAAACAAATGAAATTTCAAAGGTGTTAGAAAGGAGATGCCGTGAAATAGTTAACGTCAAGATTCAAGAAGAGCAGTGTGGCTTCCG